TCTCCCCTTGTCCCATCCCTCCATGCCTTGCAGAGAGTTTCTCCATCTTTCAGTTCCTTCAGGTACTGTAAATCCACCCTGAGGTCACCCCAAAGCTTCTCTTTTCCAGGCTGAACCATCCCAATTTTCTCAGCGCTTCCTCCCAGCAGAGAGATGTAACACAACACCCTGATCTGAGTGCCCATGGGATGTACAAACAACACCCTGAACTGGGTGTCCAGGGGATGCACAAATGACACCCTGATCTGGATGTCCAGGGGATGTAACACACGACACCCTGAACTGGGTGTCCAGGGGATGTTATGAACAACACCCTGATCTAGGTGTCCATGGGATGTACAAATGACACCCTGAACTGGGTGTCCATGGGATGTACAATTGACACCCTGAACTGGGTGTCCATGGCATGCAACACACAACACCTTGATCTGGGTGTGCATGGGATGCACAAATGACACCCTGAACTGGGTGTCCAGGGGATGTTATGAACAACACCCTGATCTGGGTGTCCAGGGGATGTAACACACAACACCCTGAACTGGGTGTCCAGGGATGTGCTGGCTCTAGGAACCTGAACCTCCAATACTCTGATCAATGCAGCAGCAGATCTCCCGTGGACATTTTACACTTCCACTTCTGCTCCACGGGTTTGGGATGTGTCACAGCACAGCCCTGCTGTCACTAACAGCAGTCACCTGTCCTGTCAGGCAGCTCCAAACCTCACAGCACAGCAGCACTAAAATCACTCTGAGATACATTCCTAAGATCCATCTTTTTCAACTTCCTTCAAATGTTTCCTTCCCTGCTCTAAGGCACAAATGTCCACAAAATCATCACCTTAAACAAGAGTCCCCATGTGCCACCACAGCTCCCCACAGCCTGGACTGTGACTCCAGGGCTCCACAAAAGCCTTAAACCTGTCCTAAAGCACCACAGTCCTCCCTGAAGCAGCAGAGGAGAAGCAGCAGTGCTCTGCTGTAGCATATCCTGTGCTTTCACCAGCTTTCCTCTTGACAAATTCTCATCCCCCTGTTCAAAGAGACATTACAAGATCAAAACTCAGCTGAAAGACTTTTAAATCATGATCATTGTATTACCTCTTAGTCCACCAATGCCTTAAAGCCCTCCCCTAATAATAAAGTGTATAGATTTCTAGGTACCTGTGTGAAGGTACTTCCATAAACCCCTTTGGAAAAGCTATCCCAGTCTCAGGGAGGCACTGAAACACCCGGACCATGAAGTGTGGGCTAAAATTAGGCTTGTTATTGTGACACACAACAAAAACTCCCCAGGAACAAAAAAATACTAACTCACTGAATTTGGAAAAAACCTCCAAGACCATCAAGTCCAAGTCCAATCCCCAGCCCCACTTTGTCACCAGCCCAGAGCACTGAGTGCCACATCCAGTCCTTCCTTGGACACCTTCAGGGATAGGGACTCAGGCTCTGTAACTGGGAAGTTCTCTTTTACATCAGGCCATCCAAGGGCACATGACACTAATCTTCTGTTTCACCATTTATTCAATTTCTAAAAAAAGGAATTAACTACCACAGTAGTGGTCTGATTATTCCATATGAACACAAACCTTTGAACACAAAGGCATTTTAAATACCATATTTTTAAACACAGTTGCACCAGTTCTACCTCTCACTGCGGCTCTCAGCCCAAAGGAAAAGGGACAAAGACCAGCAGAATTCAGGATTTGGAAGCTACCACAGCCAATGTCCACTGTCTCAGAGGTGCTGGTCAGGTTCCCAGACTTCCCAAAGCAGCTCCTTACATCCCTTTTCCCCAGCAGAAGGAAAACCACCAAAACTACCAATCTCCCATCACACTAAAAGCAGGGAATGGGAGGCTGAGCAGCCACGCTCCACGGTCACTCTGTGACACCGAGGGGACACAAAAAGCTCTCAGGACTCTCTGGAAGCCACTGATGTCCCCGTGGAGGAAGCCACAGGCCCACGTGGTCCCCTCCACACAGCCACACTCCTCCCCACCGGCTCAGGGCGAGGGATGAAAGGCAGGATTGAGATGAAGGACAAGGATGTGCAGCACTGGGAGCAGGGAAAAGCTCCTCCAACGAAGCTGCTCATGTCTCTGTTCCGCCTGGCTCCCCACATGTTACCCTAATATCCGTATTATCCCATTAGATCCACACCCATTCCTCCTGCAGCTGAGCCCTGAACTCTCTCAGGAAGCGGAGCTGAGTCACTCTCTGAACTGCCTGCTGAGATAATGCCCCTGCACAGAGGCTCAGGGCAGCAAATCCACTTTGCAGGCATGCAGGGCATCCAGCAGCATCCCCAAATCCCACTGTGCCACGGGGAATGCTCCTCAACACACCTGTGTCCCACCAGCTGCCACTACAGGCTTCTTGGCATCGCTGATCCAGCTGCATCACAGCCAGCAAACCTTCGTCTGGAGAGGTTAAGAAAACTCTGCTGAGAGCTGCCACTACAGGCTTCTTGGCATCGCTGATCCAGCTGCATCACAGCAGCAAACCTTTGTCTTGAGAGGTTAAGAAAACTCTGCTGATCACAGGGATATACCAGAAGAGGGGGTGAAGGGATATAAATGTGTTATATAAGCACATGTATGTATTTTATATGTACACATCTCTATATACAGACACACATACATTTCTGAGTTCCCACTGCTGTGACATAAACATAACCACAACAACACACCTTCCTGAGATTTCTGCTTGGAGAAACCTGCACACAGAATCCCAGAATATCTGGGGCTGGAAGGCACCTCTGGAGATGATCCAGTCCATCCCACCTGTCACCTGGAGCAGGTGACACAGGAACACACCCAGGTGGGCTGGGATATCCCCACGCCCTCCCTGGGCAGCTGTTCCAGAGCTCTGCCACCCTTCATGGAAAGAAGTTCCTCCTCATGGTGAGGTGGAACTTCTCCTGGCTTAGTCCATGGCCACTGAAATGAGTCTGGCACCGTCCTTCTGGACATATTTGCATGGATTGATGAGACACCCAAAGCGTTGTACATTATGTTTCACTAAGTCCCATTAGCATTTCTGTTAAGGATTTTCTTCCTGGCAGACAATACTGAGTCAACATCAGCCCCAGGACTGGTCACAGCAAATAGGAAGACAAATATTCTCAAGTCTGAATTTCCAGGTTAACAGAGCTGTCTCCAATTCTGTTTGGGACTACACAACTGTTGCATCAATTCTCCACAACCTCCAGCCTTCACAAGCAGCAAAAAATAAAACGTTAGAAGACTCACAGTGCCCTTTCTTAACAACATAAAGGTCCATAAAACACTTAGAACCAAACTTAATATTAATTTTCTTTAGGACACCAAAAAGAAGCTATGTCTCCCAAAGCAGCCTATACAGCATGGCACAGGCCAGTGAATCCAATGTGTAATTAGCTCTAAATCTGATTTATCTCCTTGCAACCCTCAGATCCCTGTCACACAGCAGAGAACTCCCCCAGTTTGGTGAGGATCTCAGCCTCCTAGCAGGAAAAAGAAAACAAACTATCAGAGAAACACAAATCTATTATAAAACCATGACAAACTTCTCTGCAGAGCAGTGGACATAAAAAATACCAAATAAGCACATCCCACTGGGCTTTTTCAAACTGGGAGAGTTTTTTTATTCTGAAATCACATTAAAATCCAGTTTTCTTACTACACATGCAATCCCCCACACTGGAGATGCAAGTATACTTCAAGTATGTTATGAAACAATCAAGTCTATTTCACACTTTCTTCTCTCATGTCTATTTCAAATCTATTTCAAATCTATTTCAAATCTATTTCAAATCTATTTCAAATCTATTTCAAATCTATTTCAAAACATTCCTGGAAAGCAGGCCTGGGCAGTCACCCCCACCACAGCACCAGACACAGAGTTCCTGCAAAAGAGGAACTTGCTTTCGAGTGGCACTGGGCTGCAACATCAGCTTATACTACGTGACAATTCAGTCATTCCAAAATACTCATCCCACACCACCAAGCAGATAATTTGGAAACTTAATGAGGGACTGCAATCAGTGACACGTCTGCATCCCTGTGCTTGTCCTGCATCCCCAGCGCTGGAATTACCCACAGGTCCCACACTCTAGAACCATGATTTTCTAATAATTTTTAAAATCCAAGCTGTGGTTTTCTAGGGACACGCACACAGAATTTAAAATTAATTCCTGCAATTCACTCAAGTTTTACTCAGCCCCAGAAACTCCCTCCTTCCTGCTGGCTTTGTTTATGAGGTTTCTATGAAAAGTCGCTCTTCACAATCAATCCAGCCCAAGAACTGCGGTGGGCATTGAGCTTCAAGCTTCCAGTTTGAACAGCCAGATTTATTATTTCCTTCCCCCAGAAAAACGCTCATTCACGCCAATGAAGTTTTCTGCGCCGCACTCCCAAAATAAAACCTTCTGCTCCAAAACCAACATGTTTAAACTCATGCCGAGCCCTCCCGGGCCGGACCTCACGGGGTTTGGTCCCGTTTGGTCCCAGCGGGGATGCGTGAGCCACCAGCCGGGAACAATCCCCCTCTGTTCCAGAGGGACGGAAGGAGCGGGGTAGGAAATGGATCCCAGCGCACAGGGAAAGCCCTGATCTGTATGAGCATCACACTCCGGCACAACCGAGAGGGACAGCACTCAGGGCACGGGCTGGGCTCGCAAAGGAGCCGGCCTGGAAGCGCATCCCGCTCCGCCGCGGGGAGAAAGAACCCGCCGTGAAAACAACTCGGAGCTTCTTCGCTGCGCGCAGCGCTCGGGGAGCGACAGGAACGGAGCGAGAAAGGCAACTTCTCCCAGCGGGGCACGGCGTTCCCAGACACCTCCTCAAGTTCCTGGGAGCCGAGAGGAGCCGGGCGGGGCAGGCAGGAACCGGAGGGGACTCGGGGGGAACAGCGCGCTCCATCCCGGCCGGAGCGGAGCGCGGAGCCGGGCAGGGACGGGGAGGCCGCGGCCGGGGGGTGCCCCTGTGCGCAACAGGCGGGAGCGGGGCGGGCGCGTCCTCACCTACGCCGTACTTCTCCTCCCTTTTGGTGGGCACCCAGCGGGTCATGGCGCCGGGAGCCGCCGGGATGCCAGAGCCCCGCTCCCTACGCCGCCATTTTCCGACCGCGGGACGGGAAAAGTTTCTCCCGACGGCGGAGTCATGTGGTGCGGGCGGAGCCAGGCCGGCCCGCCGCCCCTCAGCGTCCCCTCCGCGGCCCGGGCCGGCAGCGACGGCGGCGGCTCTGCACAAAGGGAGCGCCCGCCTGCCCCGGCTTTATTCGTGGTGCCTCTCCGCCTATTCCCGGTTAAGTCCCAGGTGCACCCGGTTATATCCCGGGTACCTCCCCGCCTATTCCCGGTTGTGTCCCAGGTGCACCCGGTTGTGTCCCAGGTGCCTCTCCGCCTCTCCCCAGTTGTGTTCCATGCGCACCCGGTTGTGTTCCAGGTACCTCCCCGCCTATTCCCGGTTATGTCCCAGGTGCCTCTCCACCTCGCCCCGGTTGTGTTCCATGTGCACCCGGTTGTGTAAGTCCCAGGTGCACCCGGTTATGTCCCGGGTACCTCCCCGCCTCATTCCCCGGTTGTGTTCCAGGTGTACCCGGTTGTGTCCCGGGTACCTCCCCGCCTCTCCCCGGTTATATCCCACGTGCACCCGGTCGTGCTCTGTTCGAAGGTTTCTGGCTGCGTTCTCCCCGGTGGAGTGACTTTAAAACACAGGGGTTTTTGCCAGTGTTTAATAGCTGGAGCAGGATGTGCCTTTGCAGGTTGCCATGGGGAGCTGGACAAGCCTGGGAAGCAGGGCCATGGGGATATGGTGGGGTTAAACAAGGCCGAGTGCCTTGGGTCGGGAAGAGCCCCGGTAGGGATGCGGGCTGGGGGTGAAGCGATGGAGCAGCCCCGGGAGAAGGGCTCAGGGGTCTGGTGGTCAGAACTGGACTTGTCCCAGCCATGTGGGGAAAAAACATCAAGTCCTGGACTGATCCCACACCATGGGCAGCATGAGAAAGCAGAATTCTGTCCTTCTGCCCCACTCAGGTGAGACCCCACATGCCAAGCTGCCTGCAGCCCTGGGATCCAACACCAAAAGGATGTGGAGCTGCTGGAGCGGGTCCAGAGCAGGCCATGGATACACACCAAGGACTGGAGCCCCTCTGGAGCTGGGCTGGAGAGCTGGGGGTGCTCACCTGGAGTGGAGAAAGCTCCAGGGAGAGCTCAGAGCCCTGCCAGGGCCTGAAGGGGCTCCATGTTAGCTGGAGAGGGACTGGGGACAAGGGATGGAGGGACAGGACACAGGGAATGGCTCCCACTGCCAGAGAGCAGGGCTGGATGGGATGTTGGGAAGGAATTTTTGGCTGCTGTCAGGCCCTGGCACAGGGTACCCAGAGAAGCTGCCCCTGGATCCCTGGCAGTGTCCAAGGCCAGGTTGAACAGGGCTTAAAGATTATGAACTTTCTGGTTTCAAGACCCAAGTCCAAAATCTTGTCCAAATCTAGCATCTCCTTGCTAATTAAGTGTGGAATAAATGATTACAGAAGAAAGAGCAAGGGAAGTGAACTTCCTGTTCCCAATCCCTGCAGTCTTGGAGACATCCAGGACTGTGATTTAATTTTTTATATATATATTTTTTAAGCCTTTAGGAAACAGAAGATAAAGTGTGTAAAAGTCAAGAAACAGCAGAGGGCTAACACTTAAAAGGAATAAAGAGAAGTGAAATGAGTGACTGGCTGTCACTTGGCAGGATTAGTCCTCTGCCAAAGGGGAAGCCCTTTAGCACAAATTTAAGGATTAAGATAGAGCCAGGGTTGAATCTTTTTTCTCCTTATTTTCTTGTGTAGTGTGGATGGCAAAGGACCAGTTTCTGCAACAGCATTTTGCTGTCAGGTTTTGAGATAAGTACTCAGACCTCTGAATGAGTCTGCTCCTCTTTCCTTTTACCTCCCCTTTTCCCACCCTTGGGATTGGTTTCCCAGGACATCACCAACACGTTCAAACTCATCCAGGTTTTGTTGTAGCTGTCCTGCAGAATCCCAGGGGGTTGTGATGAGCCAGCTGCTGCATCTTTGTTCATTCTGCCCAGGAGTGAGGACATCAAAAGCTTTTCAAAGCCATGGCTTGTTCTCGTTATCCTGCACTAATGGATCAATGATTTAGAGCCTTCCCAAAGCCAACTTACAAGGGAGCTCTTTGATTTCACACCTTTATTTTCACAAGGGAAATCAAAGTGAATTGACTGGAATACTGGATGTGTTTCCTCTGTTCCTGTTGTCACCTTTGGTCTTCCACAGCCGGGAAAGAGAAAAGCAATAATATTTATTTCCAGCCATGAATATTACACCCTTTTATACAACTGGTGAGTTATTTTTGTGGTGCTCCTAAATACATGCAGCAGAACTGCCAGAGCTGCTCAGGTGCTTTAGGGATTTTTGAGGCTGTTACTGGAACAATCTGTAAATCTGGAAGCTGATTGACTTTTCATTTACATCACTGATAACCAGGAATCACTTCTGTGGAACCGTGGTGGCTTTGCAGGTCCGGGGTGTGAGAGGGGACACAAAGCAGCACACTGATGTTAATTTAAACCTGTATTAGTTAATAAATTAGTTATTGCTGCAGTCTGTCCTTTCTGGGCCTCAAGGTTCAAAGCTGAAATGTGTTTGTTTCTGTTTTGAGGGAGGCCAAGGGAGCACTCGTGTTTCCCTTCATGAGAAATGTGCTGCTGCCAAGCTTTCTTCAGGTGTTAACCAAGAGTTAAATTCAATTCCCCCAAAATTTGGCACTCCTTAGTCCCAGCTTACCTCTCTATCTGCGCTAAATGGGAATTATATGGACACCAAAGATCAAGTACAAGCCTAAGGCAGGAAGCAGCAGGTTCAATAAAATGAAAGTTAAAGAATTACTTATAACTTCTACATATTAAATCCATTCAATAGCAGAATTTATGTTGATGTCAGTGAAAAAGAAGAGGTTTGTCCTGTTGTCTGATCATGATCTGTAACAAATACAACCCAGGTGATCCCGTGACCACCATAAAGCCTCACTGCTACTGATGAGGGTCTGTATTCATTTTACTGCTTTCCACATTCTCATTTTAATGAAAATGTGTTACAAGTAGAGCTAATGCTATTAAAATTTTGATAGCCAGTAAAAAATGCTTCTAATTCACAATGCATAAATATCCCAATGCTGGGGTTTTACAGCTAGGAAAAAAATGGTAATTTTTGGACTGTGATATGGAGAAAATAAAAGATTTTTATTTTTTCTCCAGCAAATGTAATATAAACTGTCCTGAAAAAAGCATTTTTCATTAACTGTAAAATGTTCAAGCTGACATATTTTACATGCTTAGACATAATATATTTCTTTGCACTGTGCATGTGGGTTTTTCATTTATTAAGAGGAAACTGAAAAATGCTTCTTTCCATAAAACCTGAAAGTTTTATCACATCCTTATGTCAGCTCTTGGGGTTCTCATCTGATGTTTTTAATGCATCACACAGAATTGGAGACACTTCTCTTGGAGCAAAGGAACATTCCTTTTCATTTCTTAGTTCCAAGAAATCCAAATGCAGTATTTGGCCATGAATGGTGTTTGAAATTCTTGTCACAGCATCTTTTCAAAAGGATGAATGGAAACAGAGCTGCTGCCCTGCTTGAGACAGATTTGCAATAAAAAAAGAGATATTCCATCAATGTACAAATATGATCAAGATTTGTTTCATGGTTATTGCAGATGACTACACTAGGGGAATGTTTGTTCCATCTCAGTTAAATATCACAAGGTTTTGTAGTCATTTCTTTTCACTGACAGGCCTTGTAGGTAAATTCAGCATTTTCAGACAAAACACATAAGTAGTTGTTGTACACCCACAGTGCAAATTCTTCTTGGAAATATTCCTCCCAAGAGGAGATGGGTGGACTTATAAAAAAATAATGTAATCACTTTTTGGCTTTTCTGTTTGCACTAAAGATATTCTGTTGGAAATGTTATGGCTTCCACTCCAGCTGCTGATCATCTATTTTTGCTGTAATTTCCATGAGGGGTCAATGACCTCTGTGTCTGTGACTGGCTGCATGTTCCGTGTTTGGGTGTACACAAAATAAGTTTTTACACCTGGTGGGAAGAGGTTTTTAATACATGCTCTGGTTTACAATGTATTGCAATGAATCAGAATGGAAATCAAATTAAATTTATGAGTTTGTGTTACAAAAATGATTTCAGCCTTGGCTTTGCAGATAGCTGTTAAATGTCTGATTAGCTTGGGGGTCTCTTGCAGGTGAAAGTGAACCACTTTCAGGGAGAATTAAGAAGCCAAAACTGCATTTCCTTTGACATCCCTGCTGCCTTCTGTCAGCCAAGGTGTGGCATTCACAAACCTGGACAAAGTTTAACAAAGCTGGAGGGAAGTTCTGTGTTTTTTGCTCAGTAATCGTTCCTCTTCCTCTCACTTTCATAGAAGCATTTTGATTATCTCTGGGTGTGTCTTCAGCTTTATTCCAGCAGGATGATATTTGGGATGCCCAACGTGCTGCATGCAGGGCTGCATTTGCCAGCAGAAGGGTTCAAAGGCAACATTTGAATTTCTTTAGCTCCTGGCATGCACACTGCAGTCATTGCACTGCTTTAGGCTCTTTGAGAAGGGTTAAAGAGAGCATCTCTCCCTCCATCCTGCTGCCTCCATCAGCAGTTTCTGCTTCCCAGCATTTGAATTTTTATATTCAGAGATTATGGGGCTATTAGGGATTTAGAGGGTGATTAATTATTTCTTTCAGAGAGAAGTCCAGAAAGGAGCTGAAGATACTAATTTATTAAGTAATATTATTTTATTAAACTGTTTATGTTTTAGCCTAAAAAATGGAGCTTGGCTGTACATAATAAAAAGGATTATTTCCTAAATTATGTTCCTTCACACTGTGCTGCTGGAAATGATAGAAAACAAGGAATCTTCAGAGGGGTTGGATGTTTGGATGCAGATGTGTGAACATCTCCCAGGTACTCTTAACAAATGCACAGGGGTTCCCACGCTGATGTGGTTTTGGAGGGATGGGATTATTATGGATGCAGCTTTGTTTATACCCTGGTGTTTTCATCCTGTGCTCTGTAATAAAAAGTGCTTTACAATGCCACAGCAAATGGAAGCAGCTCCCTGTCTACAAAAGGGGGAAATCTGATTTCTGACCATGCCAGAGTGTGAGGTTCTGCATTCTTCAGGGAGATTTATGGTGGATCAGTGCTAGCACTGTGTGCTCTGAATAAACACCATTTACATAAAGAGCAGATCTTTTGTCAGAACCATCTCAGGCATCACCATCAGGACATTTTATGTGATGTCTTGG